ATATCGTTTAATTGATATTTATTAATATTTTTTCTTTCTTCTTTTATGTTTTTTTTACTTGATAAAAAAAAAAGATGACATTTAAAATTTCGCAGTTGGAATAAGCTAAGACGAATGGATTAGAACATAAAATTTTATCAATATCGATTTTAAACTCTCCATCTTTTTCGATATTTAAATCGACGTGTTTTTTATTTTGTTGTTTCGTTTTTTTTTCCCATTCCAAAAATCAACAATTATTCAAGATGACAAGTTTTACAATGAAACACACCATAGATATATTTGTAAAGACATACGCTTTTTTTTTTTTTTTTTTTTTTTTAATAACAATTAATTTGAATGTTATTTGCGCCGATTAAAAATGATTTGATCTATTAAAATATTAATTATATGTGTTGATAAAAATTGATGTTTATTTCAAACATAAAACTATAATATCTGCCTATGTAATACCATATTTGGTTTAATCACGTAATGTGTCATCGAGAGAGATAATATGACTTGAAGTAATAATTAATATCAATTAAAAAAAACCAAGAAATTATCAATGTTTAGTTTCATCGAACAAATACATGGTAACGTTTATATTATATTTTACTCACAATTGAATCTTTTATTACAATTTAATGGAAAAAGTTTTGACGTAAATGATATTTTAAAATTTTTTTTCAGGTTTCAAAAAATTTAATCGTTCGATTAAAAAATGTATATTCAATCGTTCTCGTCTCTGAAGATTTATATTCTCTATTGAATTTAAAAAGGAATTAACTTGAAAAGGAATTTTCAATCATTTCTAATCTGATTATTATTATTATTATTATTATTATTACTATTATTTATTTATTTATTTATTTTTTGTATTATTATATATTTATAATTTATACTTATTATATATATATATATATATATATATATATATATATATATATATATATAACATCTACGTACTATCGTGAATGTGATTAATTATTTGGTATTATAAACATTATATGTTTGTAATAAATAAAGTAACAGAGACAGGACGTAATTAGATAGATTTATAACTTTTCAGATCGAAGATACTATTTATCATGATGTCATTAAAAATATATATGTGTTTGTGTACTTGTAATCAATTCTTATATAAATAGCCAAACATATATATATATATATATATATATATATATATATATATATATATTTATAAACGCATATTTTAACGAAGTATGAATGCGTATGTTAATACATTATTGCAAAGCTATAGCAACTTTCAACAACGTCCAAAGGAAAAAAGTTTAAAAGTAGTATAACCAGTAGCAATAGTTAGCACATTTTATAGCATGCATGAGTTGTATATACATATTACGAATGCACAATCTTGCATTCCATTTCTTGAGGAAATGACTGATACTACAGGGTGAACCAAAAGTTTGTAAACAGATCGAAATTTGTTGGATCATCTTAAATATCAATTACTCTTTTCCGAGACGTCTCAGGTTGACACTTGTTTGCAAATCTGTAAAATCACAAGTTACATTTGTCACAATGTAAAAATTATTCAGTCTAAAAAAAAATGGAATTAGTTTGGTAAAAAGTTTCAAAAAAAGAAAAAAGAGTTTTTATAACTATTACATTATCATCTAATAACTTTGGGCCCGTTCTATTTTATTTAATCCTAATTTATCGATCTTGTGATATCATTAATGAAAACTTAATAAATACTCGACATATTTTGAATGAATATTTTTGAATCTTACAACGACGCATACATTTGTCTGTTCAATCCTTTTATCAGTTTCATTTTTCTGTTCAATTTTTTTTTTTTTTTGAATTATAACCAAAAAAAAAAAAAGAAAATATCAATTAAATTTTCGTCGATCAAGATCTTTTTTCATCTTTATTATTACTTTTTTTTTTTCTTTCTTTCTTATTTTTTATCTTTCATTAATTAATTCAGACGGAAAAAGAAGTGACAGTGACATGTAAAACATTAGACAATTTAAAAGCATAATGGAACCGACATTGTTATCATAAAATTCTGGAGGCGTTGAAGGATGAGAGACTCTGCCTTTCAGATCAACGAATCAGAAGCTCGGATCGGATTGCGTGTGCGTCCATGTATTCGAGTTAGGTTTAAAAAAGAACGCACAACGTACTCGCGCGTAGTACATTACTTGTCGGCACACTCGTGTCTACGTCCATAATAACGTTCGACTCGTTCAATTTCCCTCGCGTTTTTATTATTATTCTTTTTCTTTTTCTTTTTTATTTCCTTATATATTTTTTTATTGCTGGTGACAAATAGAAAAGAAAGAGAGATATATGCATATCCGTTGATATTAAAAAAAAAAAAAAAAAAAAAAAAAAAAAAACCTCATAACAACGTTATAATTGAAGTTTTACGTAATAATACAAATTTCGTTGTTTCGTTATCGCCGGAAGTTACGTCGACGCCATCTTTTTTCGCAGGTCAGTTTAAATCACGCCGTTCAAAAAAAAAAAAAAAAAAAAAAAAAAAAAAGAAGAAAAAAAGATTTTCTTCTTCATTTATTTATATATTTAAATAATATTAATTAGTATTACCATTTTATATATTTAAAATTATTCGTACTAATTATGATAATTTTTATGTGTTAATCATTCTCTCATGTGTTAATATTCTCGTTATTACTAACTCCTTCTATAAGTTTTTCTCATCAATAATAGTAAAAAAAGCAAGAGCTTCTGATAAAAGTAATAATATTTCGATTAAAGTTTTGCTTAAATAATGACGTAGATATATTTTTATGAAAGATCGATAACGACGTCATCTTCGTGCGTAGATCAATTTTTAAATTTATTTATTTAGAAGATACATTTAAATTTATTTATTTAAAAGATACAAATCAGAATTTTTAACTTACAATATTAGTAATTTTTTTTCCTTTTATTTTGGAAAATTGATCGAATTATGGAAAATTGAATTGTTTAAATTTACTATTGAAAATAAGTTTCTCTTTCAAATTCTAAAGAGAAGACTTAATTAGATGTAATTTCAATGGATTTCGAGATAAGAGATAAAAAAAAATTGGAGGTCATGGATTAAAAGTGTGAAGAAATATAGATCACAAGATGTTTAATCTTAGTTAATCGTCTTCGACAAATTTCATTCGTTAGTATGAGATAATTAAAGATGGAGGCAGAGAAAGAGAGAGAGAGAGAGAGAGAGAGAGAGAGAAAGAGGAAGACAGAGGTTTAACGAAATAACGAAGATGATAATTAAAAGTAATCTCAATTAAGCAAGTTAGATTTAGATATCTCAAGTACCTTCCTCTTTTGATCTTTTGATCTGTGACGATCAAAAATAATCCATTTATATGAAATTTCCATTTGATAAGAAACAATTAGATGGAGAAATGATTAATCACGATTTAAAACATCGTGATTTAAATAAAAAAAAAAAAAATTCTAATTCTCGAATCAATAAATATCTATCTATATTGATATTGATCTATATTGAGTTTGTATTGTTATCACCCTAATCAGAAATACTTTAAGTAACATCATAATAGATAAGTCTATCTATTTTGTGCATCTGTTCTTAATCTCAACTTTATCGATAGAGATTATTTATAGGTCATTGCAGACCACAGGATGACATTTAAAATAATATTTTAAATGGTATTTAAAATGATATTTAAAATAATATTCTGTGCGTGTGCGCGTATGTATATGTATATATATATATATATATATATATATATATATATATATAATAGTTATATAAAATTATAAATTCATATGCAATAATTTTTTATAATTTATTTTGATATCATATATACATATATACATAGTATAGTAATTGTAAATTTACAGAATCTCCTCGATTCGATTATTAATGAATACAAATCATCTTTCTTTTTTCTTTAGAATCAATGCCGAACATAATGAAGAAACAACAACAGGGTCCATTGATCGGTGTAATAGATGTTGGTACACGAACAGTAAGATTTGTGGTAAGAATCTCGTATATCGTCTGAGCTTATGATGGCTTATTATATTTCGAAAAAAAAAAGAAAAAAGAAAAAGAAAAGAAAGAAAGAAAGAAAAAAAAACATCCGTTCTTATCTCAGTCAATATGAGATTATGATTAGGTGGTCACAAACGCAAAATTTCCGTTATGACGATAAAGGTCATAATCATGAGTGGCAATGCTCGATGATTCGAAAAATAAAAAAATAAAAATTTAACGATAAGTCAATTGGAAAAAGTAAAAGTGAAAATAAAATAAAATAAAATAAAATAAATAAATATAAATTATTTTTAGGTATTCAATGCGAAGCATATAACAGAAGTAGCTTCTCATCAGATCGACATTGAACAATTGAGTCCATTGGAAGGATGGCTCGAAGTCGATCCTAAAGAAGTACTTTTTGCTGTGAAGGCATGCATCAAAGACGTCATAAAAAGATTTGAATCGCTCAATCTAAAGGTAGAAGACATCGTCACGATCGGTATCACAAATCAGAGAGAAACTATTATAGCGTGGGATAGCATAACCGGTGAACCGTTTTACAACGCTATAGGTTTGTACTATTTTTGCACGGATCTCGATTGAAGAAGTTCACATACACGCACACACACACACACACACACACACAGATACACGTAATCCTGATTTTATCTACCGTAACGATGAGATCTTTTTCTTTTTTATCGTTTCTATTATTTTTCTTTTTTCTTTATTTTCTTTTCTTTTCTTTTTTTTTTCTTTTTTCTTTTCTTTTCCTTTTTTTCTTTTTAGTGTGGTCTGACATAAGAACCGCTTCGACCGTCGATCAGATCATTGCCAAGTTCCCAGACAAAAGTAAAAACCATCTGAAGCCACTTTGCGGTTTGCCGGTCAGTCCTTTTTTCTCTGCTTTGAAAATTCGATGGATGAAGGATAACGTACCGACTGTTAGAAAAGCAATAAGAGATAGACGTTGTAAAGTTGGTACGATGGACACATGGATCCTTTGGGTATGTGTAGATTTATTTATTTCTTTTTTTTTTGTAATATGTTAAATTTTAAAAGAGAAAAATTATTGAAAAAAAAAAAAAAGAATTGAAAAGTGTTTACATTTATTTATTAAAGATTTGAAAAATGTTTGATAGAACTTAACCGGTGGTAAGGAAGGTGGACTTTACATAACGGATGTCACGAATGCCTCGAGAACGATGCTAATGAACATCGAGACTCTTTCATGGGATCCAACATTATGCAGATACTTTGACATTCCTATGCAAATATTACCCGATATTAAGAGCAGTTCAGAGATTTATGGTAAAATCTCGATCGGTCCCTTAACGGGTATTCCGATATCGGGCGTAAGTTATTCTTACGTTTTATATTTTGTTTCCTTCATTCTTTTTTTTTTATCCTTTTCCTTTTAACGATAGAATATATTTTTCTTTTTTGTTTTTCTTTTTCTTTTTTTTTTTTTTTTTCTTTATCTCTCTCTTCGACAGATTCTTGGTAATCAACAATCGGCATTGGTAGGACAAAATTGTTTGAAACAGGGTCAAGCTAAGAATACTTATAGAAGTGGATGTTTTTTACTATGTAATACAGGAACTAAGGTAATTAATAATCATTATGATTATATTTGTTTGTTTCTCTTATTACGAAATTCGTGTAATCAAAGTGAAGAGTTTTTATATTATTCCAGAGAGTGTATTCTTCTCACGGTTTAGTCACCACAGTTGCATATCAATTAGGCCCAAATAGTCCTGCCGTTTATGCATTGGAAGGTTCAGTGGCAGTAGCCGGTGCTGCTGTTAAATGGTTAAGAGATAATATGAAACTTATCAAGGATGTTCACGAATCCGAACATTTGGCACAAAGCGTTTTTAGTACTGGTGATGTTTATTTTGTACCAGCTTTCACGGGACTTTATGCCCCTTATTGGAGAAAAGATGCCAGAGGGTTGGTCGTATTAATCGATTGATGAAAAGATATTTTATTCGAGCCGATGATTACGCTAAAGTCGTCTAACAATAAATCATTTTGAGGTATTGAAGGACATATATTTCGTTTCAAACGATAATTATTTTTAACGTTTTTAAATTACGTAAAAAGAATTATTTTTCTTGAGAATGAACGTACACTTGGATATTTTTTTTTTTTTTTTTTTTTTTTTCGTGCTTCATCATTAATTCGGAAAAATAATTTTTATACGACGTTAAAATATTTTTAAACGAAAGTACATATGACTTAGGCCACTTTCGTAATCATTCGGTTAATTTATATAACACTTTAATGTAATTAAAAACTTGTTACAATTTTATATTAACAATTTTAGAATAATATGCGGTCTCACGGCTTTTACTACGAAACAACATATTATAAGAGCGTGTCTCGAGGCAGTATGCTTTCAAACAAGAGATATTTTAGAAGCAATGTATAAGGATTGTGGTTTTCCATTAAAAAAATTAAATACCGATGGTAAAATGTCGACGAATAATCTCCTTATGCAATTACAGGCAGATCTTTGTGGTACACCAGTATGTAAGTGTTTCATTTTTGATTAATAACAAAGCTTTATTATTATTTTCCATTAATTTATTATACAATAAACATTTTTTATTTTCTTTTTTCTCTTTTTTTTTTTCTTTTTTTTTTCTCCAGTTAGATCCACTATACCGGATATGACAGCATTGGGTGTAGCAATGGCTGCTGGTCATGCGGAAGGAATAAATATATGGGAATTAGAAGGTGAAGAAATTGAAAGAGTACCAACGGATACGTTTCTACCAACTACAACACCTGAGGGTAAATATTATATGTATTTCTCAGTTAGTATATTTCTTTTGCAATAATAAAATTTATAAATATATTTTTTCATTTTATTTTAGAGAGAGATGCTAGATATAAAAAATGGAAAATGGCGGTTGAAAGAAGTTTGGGTTGGGCAGCCGTTAAGAAGTCTGATCAAATGACAGGTAAAACTAAAACTATTGAGAAAGCAATATTTGAGGTGCCAGGTGTAATCGAAACTACATTGTATAATTATTTTCATTAATTTGTGCTTATTACTATTAGAATCAATTATTTGTTTATCTGCTTGCATCTTATATGTTGATCATATACATATGTTTGTAAATATAGTAAAAACTTACTAAATTAGATCAAATAAGCAATTTATATAATTCTATTAGTAGATAACATTATTATTTTCTATTTATTCTATTTTTTTATTTTTATTCGTTTTGTTTGCATGGTGTGGTTTTTTTCTTTATGTTATGTCTTTATTCTATTCTTCTCTGCTTCTATCTTTCTTTCTTTTTCTCTATAAACTATTGTATATTATTTTCTACTCTTAAGTTATCTCTCTCTCTATATATTTTTATTAAAATAAATATATGTATGTATTTTTTCTTTCCTTCCTCTTTTGCTATCCCTATATTCTTTAATTCGCATTTGTTATTGTATTTATTGTCGTTTGCTTCTTTAAAATACGATAACGTTTTAATAAATAATAGGTAAAATAATATTGTGATATTGTGAACAAGTCTGATAATTCATGGTTATGATATTTTATTATATTAATATGTTAAAATCAAAGATGACTATGTCATTATATCATTACTGATTGTTTTATACATTGTTAATAATCATTGATAATATTGAGATGTGTAAATGTAAATAATAAATTTATTTCTCTAATTCTAATGTTTTACAATTAAAACGCTTATTGAATTTTAAAATGTTATTTATTTATTGTATTATAATAATTTGTTTAATCATAATTTTACTTTATTGTTACAGATGAAAGATATTGCGTCTTAGCCTCTATACCTGCCAGTTGGTTCTTAATGACGAGCTTTATGTTATTAAGATTAAGTCGATATTTGGAAAATCGGTGACATCACGGGTATGTCACTGAAGTGATTCTCGAAATAGAGGGCAGATAGCCTAATTATAATTTTGAACGACATTTAGGAAAGATGACTGAGAGTGCTCGGTTATCAATATAGAAAAGCAGTCAGTCATATTGGTAAGGGATAACGAGATTACGAAAGATTAGAAATAACTTATTTTTCTGCATTACAGCTGTATATTACAAAGCTGTTACAAAACACGTGAAGATAAGATTAACGGAAATGGAACAGGGAATAGAAAATGAACGAAGTAACACATCATTTCGAAGGAACCTTAAACGTTCTATCTAAAAAAAGAAAAAAAAAGAAAAAAATAAAAAAATAAAAAAAATAAAAATAAAAAAAAGTAAAAAAGAAAAGAAACGAAACAAAAAAAAAACAAATAAAAAGAAGAACAAAAGATTCCAAAGTTTCGAATCCACGATAAACCGTATATGAACAATTATTATTATAATAATTTGCTAGTAAAGTGTATCATATCGTACTCTTGCCAATACTTCGAAAACAAAAAAAAAAATAAAAAAAAAAGCAAAAAAAAAGAAAAGAAAAAACAAAGTAATGAGGATATATATCTGTCTATCATCCATTAGATTTACATTTGGGAGAAGCGGTTGCAACTTTCTGTTGTTTTCAACGTAACAAAGTTACATCATCCAAAGCTAATCATTTATATTTGTGTAGAGCTGTAATGATATGTTAAAAATATGTTAAAAGTTGATTATTTTCTACGCAATATGATAATTTTTATCTCTTATTTACATTAATCGTCAATTCGAATAAATCTATTATTTACAGAAATCGACCAGAAATCGATACAGAAATGTAAAATGTACAGCGAAAATATAAAAATATATATTACTCTCAGTTTATATCGATAAATATAAGTCTGCATTTTTATCCTTTTTTCGTCCCCTTTCCCCCATATCGAAGCGGATAACTTTTTTTTTAATTTCTTTTCTTTTTTTTCGCTTCGAAGCTCATGTGCAATAAAATAATAAGAGGATTAATAGGGGAACGGAATTAACTAGTAAAAAAGAAAGAAAGAAAGAAAGAAAAAAAAAAGAAAAATTTATCTTACAAAAGTTAACAGTTACGAAACGAGGCGAGTAATGAATCAGCGCGTTTCAAATGAGGCGCGTTAGCGGGATTAGTGGCGCCAGATGCGCGCGCATCGTTGCGGCGGTCGATCGAAGTAATGGCGCGAGTCGGAAGACAGCAGCACAAGTAACGGCGGCGGCAACGGCGGCGGTAGCAGCAGCAGCAGCATAAGCAGCACCATCACCACCACCAGCAACATCGTTAGCAGCACCATCAGAAGAAGCACGCACGCACGAACGCACGGACGCATGATGCCGTGTCAGTGTAGATCTTCGTCGTGTTACCGTAGTTGTATCGTGTTCGTTCGTAATTATACGTGACTCTTTATCCTTCTAATAATTACCATTGTCCGTTGAAACGTGAACCATCACGAAATATATAATGCGGTATAGTAGGACATTACGGTGGTTAATCTCGTGGGAAAGAGGAACTTTTGTGAAGAAGGAAGAAGAAGCTATTACCAGTGATAGTAAACTATTCGTCTTCGCGTCCTACCGTTGAAAGAGAGAACGAGATATATAGATAAAGAGAGAGAGAGAGAGAAAAAAGAAAAAAAAGATGGGTTGTGTGGTGCGTGATTCCGTTGGAGCGTTGACACGTTCTGAGTGAAAAGAAGATAGACAGATAGAAGAAGTAACGAAAGAGAGAGAGAAAGAGAAAAAACGAGGAGAAAATTGAAGGAAAGTTCTAGCGAAGCGTATGTTGCGTTGTAGTAGTTGGTACGTTCGTACAATTGAATCAAAAGAAAGAGTGAGAAAGGAAGAGGAAGAAAGAAAAAGGGGAAAGAAATAGATAGATAGAGAAAGAGATAGAGAGAGAGAGAGAGAGAATAGGATAGATAGATCGAAGTAAAAAAAAAGAGAGAGAGAGAGAGAGAAAAGATAGAAAAGGAAGAAGGAAGGAAACAACATAAAAGCGCGCTGAAACGCGGAGTCTCTCCTTATACTTTGGGTGCCGTGAACGAGAGCGCGAATCGAGGCGCTTCCCCTCCTCCGTGGAGGGGAGGGGAGGGGGAGGAGGGACGTTGTAACCCGTGCCGAAAGAGAGAGAGATAGACAGACAGATAGATAGAGAGAAAGAGAGGAAGAGAAGGAAGAGAGAGAGAGAGAGAGAGAGAGAGAAAGAGAGAGAACAGACAGACAGACACGCAGAACGCGACGTCAAGATGTCGTCGTCGGGGCATAGCAGCCGCGGTCGTGCCGTCCACATCGGCTCGATATTTCAAAAGTTGCAGGGTCGTTTCGCCGACGCTATGACGCCGCCAAAACTTTCAACGGATAAGCGTATGTTAGATAAGACATGGAAATTAATGGACAAGGTCGTTAAACTTTGTCAACATCAGCGTATGAATTTAAAAAATTCACCGCCTTTTATATTGGACATATTACCGGATACGTATCAACGTTTAAGGTTGATTTACAGTAAATACGAGGATAGAATGCAGGTTTTACACGGTAACGAGCATTTCTGTGTATTTATCAACAATCTAATGCGTAAGTGCAAACAGGCGATAAAACTTTTCAAAGAGGGAAAAGAAAAGATGTTCGATGAGACGTCACATTATAGAAGAAATCTGACCAAATTGAGTCTCGTATTTAGTCACATGTTGTCAGAATTGAAGGCGATATTCCCGAACGGCGTATTTGCCGGTGATCAATTTCGTATAACCAAATCGGACGCCGCCGAATTTTGGAGGGATCGCTTCGGTAACAGGTAAGTCAAGTGGCTATATTTCTTATATATTGTGTGTAAATAAATAAATAAACATATATATATATATATATTTATTTATTTATTTACATATACATATTTATATCAGGAATTTTTTAAAAAATCACAAATGGTTTTTTTATATATTTTGTGTGCATATGTATATATCCAGAATTTATCGAAAAAGAGCGAGAATTTTATTCGAAATAAAAAGAAAAAAAAAGAAAGAAAGAAAGAAAGAAAATAATATGAAGGAAAAGAAATAAGGGTCAATCGTGTATCTTTCACGATTTTTTCGATTATTTTTTCGTTCGTACGAAGTACATCGTTGTTGCATTTGGGTTCCTTTCTCTACTCCTTTCCCCTTTCAATTTTCTCTTTCTCTTTCTCTCTCTCTCTGTCTCTCTCTTTTCCCCTTAATCTCACCTGCAACCTATCCATCCATTTGCGCTTCACTTTTTTCCTTATCAACCTTTTCCGTCCCTACAAACATGGAACACCTGGCTGATCCTCGTCGACACCTCACGTGTTTCGAAGTCCAACTTTTCTTTTTTTCATATCCCTCCTCTTTCTCTTCCTCTTTCTCCTTCTCCTTTTCACTCAAAGCGTTTGATGGTATTTATACAATGTACGTATATTACATATGTACTTATAAAAGCGGATGATAAAGGCGCGCGCGCGCTCTTGCCGGATCAACGCACGTGCGCCTACCTAACCTAAAAAACGAGATCGAACTCGTTCGTTCATTCGTTCGTTCGTTCATTCGTCCGTCCGTTCGTTCGTTCGTTCATTCGTTCGTTCGTTCGTTCGTTCGTTCGTTCGTTCGTTCGTACATATCATGAGTACGTATTTACGTCGTTCTCCAATTTTTTTTTTCTTTTCCTTTCTTTTCTTTCGTCGATTTTATATATCATTTAATTTATCTAATTATATAAAAAATCTCCTAAACTCGTTAGATCCCCATTCCCTGTCTCCGTTTATTCTTAAAATGGCATATTATTCATTCTATTTAATATTTACAATAGCTCGATTTATATATGCAAAGAGATTTATATTAATATGTAATAGATATGGAAAGTGTCGTGATCTCGATTTAATTGTAGAAAATTCGAGACGACGAGATATGGCGGCAATTTTGAAAATTTTGAAATTACAATATCTCGAAGGAAACATTTGTTTTTTTTTTTTTTTTTTTTTTTTTTAATATAACATCTTACTAAATTTTATGTATACAAGTGTATATATATATATATATATGTATATATATATATATATCAGCATATATTACGTTTTTAATTTTGCCACATTTATTCAGATTCCTTATCGCAAGTTTTAAAATAGAAGTCTTATAATAAAGAGAGTAGCTGATATTTATATAGATATCTTTTTATATAATAAGAATGCACGTATGCGCGTTTTATATGCACGTACGTAAATACATACGTAATAATACGCAAGAAATATACGATTAGAGAATTTTGATTTAGAATTATTGATGGAATTTTAATGAATTAATTTTATTAATCATAATCATTTCAATATTAAAATTGAACAAATGTTGAAATTTATTCATTAATTCATCGATATGCTAAACATTTATATAATAATAATAATAATAATATTAATATATTTATGTAGATATATATATATATATTTTATTATTTATTATCAATTAAAGTATGCATTATTAATACATATATTATATTGTATACAAAAATCTTATAAATAATTAAAATCGATTAGAAATGTCAAATGAAGTTTCACGAATTTTTAATATAGAATAATTGGTAAGATATTCATATTAAATTTATATAAATTTAATAATACTGTTCGATACGTTAATTAATCCAAAATGATCAGACTGTAAGTTAGTCACGTTGTTATGAGGTCATGATCCATTCGACGACAAAAGGTTCAAGACGTGGCTCGCATTTTTATCGCTTTCTTGTCGATAGTAAGTATTATAGCATTTTACAGCTGACGAAGTCCCTTACCTCTTCATTCTTACATTTTTCTATTGTACCGAAGCTTTGAACGAGATAAAAAGAGAGAAACGAAAGAGAGTGAGAGAGAGAGAGAGAGAGAGAGAGAGAGAGAGAGAGAGAGAGAGAGAATACAAAGTGGACAAAAAGTTCTAAGGCGAATTAAAAACAAAAGCAAAAAAAAAAAGAAAGAAAACAATTACTTTTCTTCGAGACTTTCCTGTTGTCCGCAATTGTTCTTGTAATTTTACAAGCCGGGGTTATAGTTTTACAATCTTACAATCTAAAGAGAAAATAAAAGTATTGACCTAGAAAGAGATTCCGAAAAAATAATAATTAGATTTGTTAAAATCACTTGGGGACATTCTTTTTTTCTTCTTCTTCTTCTTTTTTTTTCTTTTTTTTTTTTCGTTCCTAGCCCACGCAAGAACTTTTTCATCCAATCTTGATGTATAGTAATTGAAAAAGTAAAAGAAAAAACAAAATATGATTACAAATCTTTATTATCGTACCTACGTGAAATAAATATAATATATTTATGAATAAATGAATGAATGAAATGAAACGAATGAATGAGTGGGTGAGTGAGTGAACGAATGAATGGCGAAAAGGGCAAGGTAGAATAAAAAAGGATGGGAAAGTTCATTCTTAAATATCAAAAGGGATAACATTAACTTCCTTTTAGTTTAAGGTCGCAAATTCTCTATAATACTTTATGTCACATATACAATATATATATATATATATATATATATATATATATATCGTACTTTGTCTTTTCCTTTGACAATCGACTTTTTCCGACCTTCTCTCTTTCTCTTTTTCTTCTTTTTTTTTCTTTTTTAATTTTCATTTAATAATAAAGGACCTTGATATTTTTTGCTTAACATTGCACTCAACAATGTTGTTATTACGTTAAGAACGGTTCAGAGAATCTTAGGTACTAAAGGGCTGGTTAAAATATAACGTTTTAATATTATATACCTCACGAACTTTCTATAAAGCGTTAGTTAGAACTAAAGTAAGAACTTCGTTTTATGGAGTCATATTTTTTTTTTTTTTTATAAACATTCCGTAAGGAATATTTAAGTACATATATAAAAAATTTAAATAATATTTATATATATATAATATATAATGTAAATGATTTTTTAAGAGAAAGTATATTAAAGTAAATATTGTATATATTATTATATTATATATATATATATATAATATAATAATATATATAATATTTATTAATATAATATTCATAATAATAACAGATATTATAATACATCATATATAACAATCACAGAAAATTAAAAGTGTCTTTTCAATTCGATTCGATTGATCGATCGATCGATCGATCGATCGATCCACGTAACATTAACGGTTCGATACGAATTAACCGGAAGTACTGAAGAAGTCTTTTCGCCGATCTGATAAGATCTTCGGAGTTGAAGACAAGAATTTTAATGATTAAGCTGATGTAACATGTAGTCTCTTATACAACTTCTACATATGTATATGTACATATATATATATATATATATATATATATATATATATATATATATATATATATAAAATTTAATTAATCAATATGATACATACAAATGATTGAGATACTTGACATTTCCTTATCGTTAAATGGTATCAGAGTCCAATCAACGTACCAAGAAGATGATGATTCGAGTTGTTTTCGATTTTTGGTATAATCGACTTGATTCCTCTTCCTTTATTTCATTTTTGTCCTGAACGAAACGTCCAAAGGTATATAAGCTGGCCAGAATATACCGTTATGCGAGTTAGTTAGGCCATCCGCGTGTTTTGTGAGAAAGAGAGAGATCGTATTACGAAATTCTTTCTTCGAAAAAAAAAAAAAAAACAATTTATTTCCAAGTAACAAGAGTATTAAATATTATTATTATTATATAATGATTATAATCATTGTTCAGAAAATATACGAAGGTAATATTACATTATCAATAATTTTAAAAAATATATTGTATTCGAACGAATAAAACTTATGCATTTTTTTCTTTTTTTCTTTTTTTCTTAAGTATTATAAAAATTTTTCCACCGACAATTATATACCATTGTACGTTGTAATAAAAAGTATATTTTATGTTTTATAAGTAATACGGTAGATGCATTTAGAAACTATCGATATTTTTAAATTTTATATATTGAAATAATTTTATAAGAATTTAAATTTTATATAATTTACTGCAACGTAGAAATCTATAAATCTATATAATTTTATGTCTTATATAATATATAAAGTTATAATATATATATATATATAAGGTTACAACGCGCAATAAAATTATTAATAGAAAATAATAAAATATATAATGTATAATAATAATAATAATAATTATTATTATTATTATTATTAATACAAAAAATTGTAATTATACGGAAAAGAATGAAGAAGTTTTATTTCTATTCTGATATTTTTCATTCGTCCATTCGTTCATTCATACTGAGTTATAATGTAGGCGGTCGAACAGTGATCGTAGTCTGAATATTAATAAATTCTTTATAGAGGACGCGAGAAAGAGAGGTAGAGAGAAAGAGAAGAGAGACCTTTGTTCATTTTGAAACTTTTTTAGTAGGTCACTATAATAACGTAACTTAGTAACGCAATTATATAATATACTATACCTCAGAGATTTCCAAAGTGTGGGTTGCATTAAATATTAAAGTATGAAAATAATAGTTTGCATGTTCATTAGAAAAATTTTACTCATTGAGAATTGTCGGATGATTCTTTTGATTTATAAATGTGAATTAAATATTACACGAGAATTATTATTATTATTTATTTATTTCATTTTAATTTTTCTCCAGTACGCAATGGTCGAATTAATTTTAAAATTGATCCTACGATCGGACTATTACTATTTTTACGGCAATTGCACTTTCGCGTGAGCCACAAGAAATTTCTATTTTTCCATGATGGATCTTGGCCAATAAAAGTTTATGAGAAATTATCTTATTATAGCCATTTATCGTGACCTTTGCAAAAAGATA